AGGCATTGTCCTTTGATTTTCCGAGATACCTTGATCTGTATCCCTCCGGTTCTTTGAGAATCTCCCCTCCGTGATTTTGTCTGTCCGGTGTTCTGCGATCGTCGATTTGAAGTATCAAATCTCTTCCTATGTTTCGGGATGGTCAACACCATTGTCTACCCTCCATTCTGGGCGTCGGTGTTTGTTGTTAGTAATGGTAATGCAGGTTGCATCACCTTGTTTTGTATTATAAAGTTCACCACAGTTTGTAGGTCCGTCAACTTGTTTACCAAGTCCTTTACTTCATCTTCTCTTCGCAGGCACCGATCCTTCCGAACTTGGAAGTCGCTCTCATTGTAGTATTCCTCTCGGTTGCCCCTCCTTGGGCCATTACAACCCTTGGTGACATTGTTTGCTTCTGGATTCACTTTTTGCACTTCATCTTCATTGTTTTCTCCTCCGATATTTGGATCGATGTGCTCCTCATCCTCACTATGGATGTCGTCTCCAACTTTCACCCTTTGTTCGATGTTGGCCATCTATTCCTACTAAGCTCCTACCAACGACGCCAAATTATGGGTGTTGATTTTTAACCTCACAACCAAACAGATCTCTCTGGCGAGATCTAGAGAACTTAGCTGGAAAGCACACGAAAGAATAAATTAAGCCAAACATCTGCACATAAGAAGATAAAAAATACTACGGTAACTCGTTCACTTGGGGGCACTTTGACGACCAAATTAGCAACTTATCTCTCAAAGATATCAAACAAGTGAACAATTCAGAAAAAAAAGCATATCTTAGACCCATGAGAGTACTTTACTTTTATAGTTAACAGTGCCCTCGTCCCCTAGAAGTCTCATTTCATAGAACTCAAGCACAACATTTATCTTGGACTCTTAATTAGATAAGAATGATCCCATTAAAGAGCATCATCTCTATTCGAACTAAGCACGTTAACTTATCTAGGACCCTTGTCCTCCATTTGAATATCTAGGATTCTGATATTACTGCACCATATCTTGGCAATATCACAACAATCTTGACAATATGGCTCGTCCATATGACATCTCGGCTAATCATCTCAGCTACGTGAACAATCCTAAAAATATGTCTCCACATCTACAATGCAATCTTTGTTCCTCACTATTGTTGTTGTTGATATAGTTCTCATCCCTCGCCATGTCGCCCTTGAATGTTTGTCGTTATCTTTAGACACAACACAAAAATTCTACCGTCTTTATAATTCATTCTTGTGATAAAGGAAGTGAGTGCCTCACTTATTTCACTTCTATATAAAAATATATATATAAAAAATCAAATTTCTCGAAGTAAAAATCTTATTATATGGCGAATTTGTTAGTTTTTATCCTATGAATTTTTAAAAACTATTTTTACATTATATTAAACATATTTAGGAATGTCTAAAATTAAATTCATGGTTATTTAAATAAGTGATTTTTTTTTATAATCAATTTGGGGTCTTAATAATTTTATTATTATATTCAAAATCATAAGAAATTTGATATGAAATTTCGAAAGTGTTGTAAAACTTGAGGTGCTTAATAATGGTGATGGTAGTGACGGTATTGTGTTAAAAGCTTGTTGAAATTTTTATATTGAACAATGAATTATCATTGTAAGGATTTTATTTTTTTATCTAAAAAATGAAATTTAAGTTTTGCAATCTATTTCATATGCATGTTAGAAGTATATTTAGAAACTTTCATAATTAATTTCTTGATTTTTTGAACAAACTGAATTTTTTAAAATGAATTTTGGGTTTTTATTAGATTTTTGTATTTTAAATCATAAGAAATACAATGTAAAAAAATCAATAGTCTTACAATGGTTGTTGTGGTTGGTGATAGTGATAATAGGATAATAATAGTGATCGTGTGGTGTTAAAAGGTAGTGAAATTTTTTTTATTTGCACAGCGAAAGTTTGTATGAATATATTTTTATTTATTTAATCAATGAAATTGATTTTTGAAAAATATTTCTTACGCATATTAGATATATATTTAAGAATATCCAGAATTAATTTTATGATTTTTGGAGCAAATTGAATAATTTTTTAAAATTTTTAATTTTGGGTTTTATTTATTTAGTTTTTATATTTAAAATCATAAGAAATTTGATATATAAAGTCAAAAAAGTGTTATCATTTGGTTGTTAGTAATGGTGCTGGTGGGATCTCACCACCCATACTAACGTTAACGTAATGAAATTGTACAATAATGATAGTTTTGCACTGTGACATTTCACTATGTTACTTTCTTTTTTAGAATCTTGTAATTAATATAGATCCTGTTTGATACTTTTATTTATTTTATTTATTTATTTATTTTGAGGGAATAAAAAATACAAATTTTATTTAAAACAAACATTTATATAACAAGTTATAAAATTTTGGGGTGTCAGTCCATAAATATATTTTATGGACTTAAAAGACTTGAATCCATAAATATAGTCGCATATGTCCATGTGTTTTTATATTTTCAACTTATGTGATACATTCAAAATTAATATTAAATTAATATTACATACCATCGGTTCAAATTGGCGTGACAATAATTATAAAAATAATTTAATTATTAAAGTACAATATCTTAAGTTGTACTTCACACTTATTTATGTCATTAAAAAACCCTATGATAAAATCAATTTTAAAATTTGCATAATATCTTTTTCAATAAAAAAATGATTAAATAACTAGCTAATATTTTATTTTATTATCTAAAAATAGAACTTGTTATTAGTTATAAAAAAAAAAAATTATTCAACTTGCTTGGTTTTGGTTTCCAGAAAACACTTTTTATAAAATTTTACTTTTTTATTTTTTGTATTTTTTTATTTTCAATGAATTTTTTAATATTTTAAGCAATTTTTTATAATTATTTTTAGACACAGCTAACATAAATATACTTAAAATACATAATATTTGTGAAAAAAATCTTTACAAAATTCACTAAATACCAAAAATAAAAAAAAAACAATTTTCATATTTTTGTGTATTTATTAATTTTTAAAATTATTTTTTTAACAAATATTTCACTATTTAGATACATCTAAGTAAAATGCATCTAAAAAAGTAAAAAAAAAAAATTGCTTAAAATTTTTAAAAATAGTTACTAAAAACAAAAAAAAATACGAAAAATAAATAATTTCAGAAAACTGAATTTAAAAAATTGAAACCAAACGCACTGATTAAAGATTAAATTTATTTTATTTTGTCTAATTTAATTTAATTTTTTATTTTAATCCAATATTTGATAGATATAGATAAGCCACCACTTAAATCTATTATTATTATAAAAGTTTGAAAAGTGTGATATATATATATATATATATATATTTTTTAAAACTTAATTTTACCTTTTCCATTCTATTATGCCTATGTTTGGGAAGTAGGTTTTGGGATTTTTTTAACTAAAATAATCACAAAAAATAAAATAGATTTTTTAATTTAATAAGACAAAACATTACATTCATCTCATAATCATTATATCTTTCTCTCACAAAAAAATCAAAAAAGTCAAAAGTCCTTCCCAAACTAGGCTTTTTAGCCTCAGGCTAAAATAGCCGAAAAAGCCAAAAAGCCAACCCACTTCTCAAACAAAGCCTATATTTTTTAAAAATCATCAAGAGTCGTATATTTTTTTTTTTGATCGGCAAATAAATCTTTATTGATGACACATACAAAGTATGATTGGATATATCAATAAAGAGGAGCTTAGAGCTAACACGAAGCTCTAAGCGCCTGCTGGTGAGGAACCAACAAAGAAACAAAAGGTGCTGCTACAAAAACAAAAGGTGCTGCCACCAAAACCAGGTAGGAGCCTGATGGGCATTCAACCCATTACCAATCAACCCAATCAAGAGTCGTATATAAATTAACTATCTCTTTATTTTTAGAGTTAAACACTAAAAAACGATGTATCTACTTCCAAAATTCCTATATAAATATAAGGGTAAATTACAAATACATTCCCAGTTTCCTTAAAATATAGATTGCCCCTTGTGATTTAAAAAATTATAAATAACCTCTTATTAGAATTTTTATTTAACAGAATTAACTAAAAAAATAAAATTCATAATTGCTCTCTTATACAATAATAAAATTACCCAAATTATTAATTGAAATATATTTTTAACATCATTAAAAACTAGGGATACTTATGTGTAGGTCCTAATAAGTGGACTTATTATCTAATAAGTCCTATAGGAAAAATTTGTCATAAAAAAAGTCACTAATTGTAAGTTTTAACGACAATTTATAAAAATTATGACAAAAAAAAGTCACTAATTGTCAATTTTTAGCGTCATATATAAAAAATTGTCACAAAAAAATTTATTTTTAACAACAATTTTATGAAAACTTATTTTCAATAGGACTTGATGGGAATTATGTCTAACTATTAAGATCTATTGATAGTTTACCCTAAAAACTATTAATTGATTTGATGATTTATTAATAAAAAGAGTAATTTGTTATAAAATTAGAACCTCGGGAGATGAAATGTAATTTTCAAAACCACAAGAAATGATTCGTATTTTAATCAAATCTCAAGAGATGTATTTGTAATTTACCCAAAATATAAACAAACCATCTTTCTTTTTTATTAAATAAAAAGTCATTTTCTTATTTTTTACATTGATAATGATTGAAGAATAAAAAATCATTATTTTTACTTATTTCACGTCTACTTTTATACTAATATATATATAATATTTACAATTGCAGCGGTACTACATGTACTTAATTAGTGTACTAATTGGTATACCAATTATGACATTATTATTGATCCATTAATTATACAAATTATAAATACCAAAAATCTCTTAAATTATGTCACATCATCAATTGATACACTAGTTAATATATTAATTAGTACATATAGCATTATTCTTACAATTGTCCATCATTTTTACAACAAGGTTCTTAATTTTGAAAGCCACATTCTGTGATCATTTCTTGCTTACCATCATGATATCAAATCACAAAACAATTGTTCTGTGATCATTTCTTGCTTACCATCATGATATCAAATCACAAAACAATTGTTTAAATCATGTAGTCACAGACGTTCTCATTTGTGCATTACTCGAGCATAATAGCAGATTTTTATCAAACACGCTGTATTGTTTGCTCGACAACGATTTTCACACACCTTTCAGGCCAAATCTTTGGAAGAATTCTTCTTTTTCCACCTATTGTCATCCCTTCCCGGATAGACCATTATATCCTTGTTCTGAGTTCTTCATTTTTGTGGAGTGCTTCAACCGATATCCAAAACTCTACATGACATAGCTAGCTTGTAACTGAAACTTGACTGGTTTTTACAAAAAGGGTTACCTGAGAAATCAAAAACTTTATAGTGGTGTTATTGATAATGGTCAATGGGTCTGAAATAGAATTAAGATAATCTCAAATCAAACATAGCTGTGTGAATAAATCAATAAGCAAAACTAGTGGTAACAGAAGATTTAGTCCAATGAGGAATAAAACCATTGAAACAAAATTGAGCCTCAATTATGAAAAAACAAGAATCGAATCCTTAAAGAGAATTAATGAAGCACGAGAAATACTCCCCTCGTGTACAAGCCTTTTTAACTCACCTGATTTTTTCTGCATTGATAATTTACCTAAAGCATAAGAATAAAACCTAGAAGCACAGAGTCTACTGTCACAAAACCAATTGAAGAACATAACCAGATTCTTAGAGCAATAAAGCATTAGCCTATTTTTTCAGTATCAGCAAAATACCTCAAGCATGATGCTGAAACAGACCAGATCACCCAACTGCATGCAGTTCAATCCATTGGGTCGGACTGCTCAGATGCTATCCACTTGCAAATATGCAAATATCAATGAGCTTGTGATTTAAAAAGAAGTGGCAAATCACAATGAAATAAGACTAAATCAACTAAAATGCTTATCTGAATATCCTGAAATAATAAAATTGTTTAGAGATTGAGGAAGAAGATTTCTTCAGTGAAAGACAAATGTCATTGTCTAAAGACATTCACTTCTTCCTTCAAACTCCAACCCTAATCCTAATTCATCTACCCCTCCCACCATCCCTGCCAGCTCCCCTAATCCTAATTCACTCCTAATTATACATACAAACATGGGGAGCTGGCAGGGGTGGTGGGAGGGGTAGATGAATTAGGATTAGGGTTGGAGTTTGAAGGAAGAAGTGAATGTCTTTAGACAATGACATTTGTCTTTCACTGAAGAAATCTTCTTCCTCAATCTCTAAACAACTGTGTTCATTTTGATGGAAAATATAATGGTATCAGTTTAGTCCAAAACAACATGGAGAGTATATGGCTAGTTTTAACGGACAAGGGTAAAATGGTTTTTGTCCATATTTTTTTTTATTGGACAGGTGTACAAATATTGGTTACAATGTCAATAGTCATCTATTGCCCAACTTCCAATGTGAACTCTCATTTGCAAGTTCACAAAGCAAACAAAGATTGCAAGAAATAGGTATATTGTAATACATCTCAAAGATGTAGAAGTTGGAAACAATTGAAACAACTCAAATGTCATAAAGTAAAGACCTCATTGTTGTTCAGCTACAACAGTTACATGATCCAGTATGAAACTGATGGAACCAACAACGATGAAGAAATGAGGATTTCAAATTATAGAACAACTGATACTAAAAATATGTTCATAAGTTTGTAAAAATATGTAGGATACAAGAAGGTGGCAGCACAGCATAGGGACATAATATAAATGTATACACAATTCTTCTCATTAGATTGCATATAACTAGTTTCTAAATGGTTTAACTATTGTTGTCTGAAAGAGAAAAACTTTTACAAAAGATTATTGGGATGGATAATGTGGAAGGGAAGAATTTGATTTAATTCTATGTTATGAAGAGGAAGCAGAACTAAGTTTATGTTCATGTGTTCCGTGTGATAAAGAGCTATACATATATACACAGAGAGAGACAGAGAGAGAATTAGATCTAGTAGAAACAAACTCATGTAAGAATCACAGCATGAGAAGCATAGAATCAACAAGACTTGAGCATCATACAAAGGGATTTACACACACGCATGCGCGCGCGCGCACACACACATATTTATCAAGAGAAGGAAGAGAAATAGAGGAAGGAAAGCTGCATTTACAGCAATAAGACTCAAACCCATGCGTCACAAGCGCCTCACCCCCTTGGTCTTTAAGGGATTTACATATAAAGTACACATATTTTTTGATTGATTAAAATTACCATAACCGACCAAAAAGCGTCAAACCCATTTTTCAGAACCATCTAGATGCCTCATCCAACTAAGTTAACCTAGCTATTCGTCTGATCCTGTCATATTTATGATGCTCAGTTCAACATTACAAATGATGAGAGCACTATAACTCCCATGTTATCCTGTTTCTTCACCACAATAGGCTCAGTTTGCTGAATATTAATTCATACATAAAACAAGGCACAAACTAGCTAACTGGCCATGTTGGTCTACAGATAATTAAGCCAACAAGCATTCAAAAACACACTCACCTCTACCCTCTCTCTATGGGATTGCCTCACCTTATAAAGCAGGGACATATAGGATACAAATATTACACAAACATGATCTAAACAATGAATAAAACAAGTTGTGAAAAATAATGCCTCCCACAATGAATACTATCCAAGAGCTTCTGATTAAAACTTGTGTTCAATGTTGTAAGTTTCTAAATTAACTTGCATATTCAACTGTGTTTTAATACAATGTGTACATCTGATATATATAGCAATTCTAGACCTAATCCTAAATAGGAAACAAGAATAAACCTAAATCAATCCTAAATAGGAAACAATATTCACATAATATAGACTATACTAATATTATTCTCACACCCCCGCTCAAACTCAAGGTGTTTGCGTAGAAAACACTGAGAGTTTGCCAAGAAGAAATTGAAACCGAGTAGTGGTGTAAGTCTTGGTAAAGAAGTCAGCAAGCTGCAGAGCCGAAGAGACGAAAGAAAGCGAGATAGAGCCAGACTGCAAATGCTGACGAACAAAATAACAATCAATCTCAATGTATTTGGTCTGCTCATGGAAGACAGTGTTATGTGCAATCCAAATAGCACTGCGGTTGTCACAATAGAGGGAGGTCGGAAAAGACTAAGGGACGCCCAAGTTAGAGAGAAGACAACGAAGCCAGACAACTTCAGCAGTAACATGAGTCATAGCATGATACTCAGTTTTGGCAGTGTAGCATGCAACAACAGTTTGTTTCTTACTTTTCCAAGAGATCAAGGAATCGCTAAGAAACATACAGAAACCAGACGTGGACTTGCAATCAGTAACATCACCAACTCAATCAGAATCAGCATAGGTCACCAAATCCAAAGAGGAAGTAGAAGACAATAGTAAATCCTCAAATATAATACCTCAGAAATAGAGAAGAATCTGAACCAAGGCATCCCAATGTGTGGAGCGAGGAGCAGAGACAAACCGTCTAACACATGAATAACATAGGCAAGATCAAGACGAATAACTGTCAAATAAACTAAGCAACCATAAGCTCTCGATATAGAGTAAGATCATCCAGAAGAACACCATCAGTAATGTTGAGCTTTACTTTAAGCTCAATGGGGGTATAAAAAATCTTAGTGTCAATAAGACCAGCACGATGAATAACCTCATTGGCATACTTGGCCTGAGAGAGAAAGTAGCCCTTGGGAGAAAAAGCTACCTCAATACCAAGAAAATACCGCAATGGGCCTAGATCATTCATTTCAAGTGTGCGGAAAATATGCTGCTTGACCTTAGATATAGCAGAAGAACGCAACAAATCCAACAGAGGTGTGAAGAAGATATAAAGCAGAGTCCTAGTGTCACGTCCTGCCGAATTACCAAGACAAAATAACCTACAAAAAGGAAGTCTCAAGGAAGGGAGGCTAACGGAATATTCTAGAAGCCCCTGGAAGGCTTGAGAAAATATGAAGACCATGCAGGATGCAGGATGCTTCTAGAACTCCCTAGAGTATTATAGACAATTGTACATAAGACTAGAAGCTTGTACATAATTCTTGTATATTCTAGAATAGGATCTCTGAGAGGATGAGGAAAGGATCCAAAATCCTCTCCATCCATGTAGATCTAGAATACTTCTAGAATAGTCTATAAGATGTAGTAGGATGAAGTGTCTAGAACACTCTCCATTAGAGTAGTTCTAGATTGTTCATTTGTAACCTATAAAAGGGGAGGGCCTCATTTGCCCAAACCACCCAAGTAAAAACCCAAGTGACCAAGAGTTGTAAAGCATTCAAGCAATACAAGCAAAGCATTCTCCAAGAGCTCTCTCTAAGCTTCTCTAAGTCTCTCTTCTGTGTGCAAACTTCTCTTAGCTCACTTCCAAAGAAGGCTTACTTAGGTGCAAGCAAGGCATGCATAAGCATCTAAGGCCGCATGGTTGGCTTGGAAAGACTAAGGGTTGATTCAGAAAATCCAAGGCCGTGACACTAGGCATAAGGATGAAACTCAAGCTTAGTAACAGCAGTCTGAAAGCGATCATACCAAGCACGCCGAAGGCGACAAACCTATCCAGAGGAATGGTGAAGGCCAGGGGGAGGACGCATGTAAACCTCCTCGGTGAGATGGCCATTAAGAAAAGCATTCTCAACATCCATCTGACAAAAAGGCCAAGAACGAACAACAGCGACAGAGATCAAAGTACAGACAGTAGTCATCTTGGCAACATGAGCAAAGGTCTCCTTGTAATCAATACCATACTCCTGTGAGAAATTTTTGGCAACTAAATGAGCTTTGTAGCGCTCAAGAGAACCATCAGAATAAGTTTTGACTTTGTAGACTCATTTGCAACCAACTAGATTCTTACCAAGAGGCAAATGAACCTACTTCCAAGTACTAGTTTTCTGTAAAGTAGACAACTCATCCTCCATAGCTTGAACCCAATGAGCATCCTGACAGGCCTCTTTGTAAGACTGAGGTTCTGAAATAGAGTGAATAATAGACAAAAAAGTACGATAGAAAGAAGAAATACATGTATTAGACCAACCCAACCTGTTTGGAGGATAACGCACTCGAGTAGGATATCGGTGTGCAGTAGGATCAAAGTATTCAGAAGTAAGATGATCAACAGTAGGGGAAGACATAGCCGGTGGAGGAAGAGCCTTGCGACTAGAATGAACTAACAACGTTGGAGGAGAAGAAACTGAAGGAGGAGAAGTAGCTAGAGGTGAAGTAGGAAGAGAAAATGAAACAAGCTCAGGAGGAACTGTGGAGATGTACTCATCAGACGAGACCTTAGAAGGAAATAGATCAATATGAACCAAATCCTCTTTGAAAACTGGGAGGGTGAGAGGAGGAAGCTGAAAGTAAGGTAGACGTTCGAGAAAAGAAACATAACAGGAGACATAAAGACGATGGGAAACAGTGTCATAACACCCATAGCCTTTCTGAGTATGACTATAACCAAAAAGACACAAAAGATAGATTGGACACTAAGTTTGGTCCTATCTTACACAAATGAGGGAGTCGTTAGGAATTTAGAACAAAGCCTCATAAGGAGACCGACCAGAAAGAAAGGGAGTAGGCATGTGGTTAAGAAGAAAAGCAGCAGTAAGAACTGTCTCTCTCCAGAATTGAGGTGGAATTGAGGCAGAGAGAAGAAGAGACCTAGTTGTCTCAAGGAGATGAAGGTGTTTACGCTCGGCTCGACTATTTTGGGCAGGTGTATCTGTACATGAAGTTTGGTGAATGGTACCTAAATTGGCTAAATACTCATAGAACTCATTTTTAAAATATTCCTTACCCAAGTCAAATCGTAACTCTTTAATTGTAGATCCAAACTGAGTAGTAATCATAGACTGAAAGATATGGTATATCTAATAGAAATCAGACTTGTGAGTCATAAGATAAACCCAAGTGTAATGGGTGCAGTCATTAACAAATAACACATAGTATGAAGAACGCCCTTTGGTCAGAAGAAGAGAAGGGCCCCAAACATCAATATGAACTAAAGAAAACGGTGTAACAGATATAAAAGTACTTTTTCAAAAAGGTAAGGTAATCATTTTGACAAGTTTACACCCTCGACATTCAGTAAGTTCATTGAGCGAAACTTTACCCAATATATCTGACTGAGCTAAAGACCGTAAGCGGTTAGCAGACAAATGCCCTAATCTAAAATGTCACAAGTAGAAAGGATTGGACAGAGAATCTAACTGAAAAGAGAAAAAAGCAATTGGAGAAGTTGTCATAGGCAGATGCAAGCTTTCCACCACTTAAAAGTCTCCAACTCTACGATCAGTCCCAATCTGCTGCTTGGACATCCGATCCTGCACAGAACAGATAGAAGAAGAAAAGATAACATCAAAATCAGACACATCAAGCTGACTGATAAATAATAAATTGATAGCTAACTGAGAAATATAAAGGACAGATGGAATAGAGACAACAGACATAGCAGACGATAAGACAGACCCAACAGATATAATAGACATATTAGATCCATTAACAGCATTAATAGTAATAGAAAAATGAGAGGGAGTACAATTTTGAAGCAAGAAGAGATGTGGAATCATATGATGAGAGACACCAGAGTCAAAAATCCAGACAAACGAAGCGATATCTGAAGAAGACCCAAGCAAACCTGAATGAAGAGAGGAAACAATGGAGACAGATGATGATGGCTAGAAGGTAGATAGTGTATGTTGAAGCTAACTAATCTAAGCACTAAAGGCAGCCAAGTCGGGATCAGGAGCTGGAGCGGATGTAGTAGAACTGGCGGGAGCCTGAAAACTACTCGGAGAACAACAACAAAACTGAGTCCGAGACTGCTGAGAAGACGAGCCAAACAAACATCCCTTCTTGGGACAGTGATACTTCCAATGGCCCCTTTAATGGCAGAAGACACACTTATCGGAAACCAAGCGTCCCGTCTTGGGCCTAGCAGAATCCAAGAAGACATATGGAGAACTAATAGCCCGAGTCTAATCACCTAACATCATAATGAACCAAAAATAAAGAATTGATTGGGCAAGGTGTAATAAACAAAAAATTAGGGGGCTCAAGTATACTAATCCCAAAATAGAACCAAATATCAGGGGCCACCAAGACCTCATAAACAGAGTTAGATGAAGATAAATTAGAGTGAGAGAGATCAAACGAGCGTCGCATGTCCAGAACCAAGTCGACAACAGAGGAAACAAGTCGCGAACCAGGTAGGTTTTGATACGACGAAGGCAGCTGCTGATCACGATGTCAATTGCGACTCTGAGGCTACAGAAAGGCATCAAACAAGTAGAACTTCAAACCAGAGAACTTCGCGACCAGAGAACTTCGCGACGCAAACCAAATAAGTTGTGAGTCAGAGGGAACAAGGTGAGTCAAACCAAATGGGCTATGATGCGAAGTTGTGAGGTGAATCACGTGGGTCGCAAGTTGACGGGTCGCAATTTGAAGTCAGATGAGTCGCACAAGCAAGACCAAGCAAATGGTAAACTAATGACTCGAATTTTATCGAATCCAAAAATCAAACCAGAGATGATTTCGAACTAGAGGGAGAAAACTTCGAACTACAGGGAACCTTCAAATCGAAGGGAGAACTTCAAAGCAGAGGGAGCTTCGAATAATCAGAACCAGGGTTTCAGACACAACTCTGATACTATGTAAGTTTCTGAATAAACTTGTATATTCAATTGTGTTTTAATATAATGTGTACATCTGATATATATAACAATTCTAGACCTAATCCTAAATAGGAAACAAGAATAAACCTAAACCGATCCTAAATAAGAAATAATATTCACATAATATATACTATACTAATATTATTCTCACAAATGTACCATGTGAATCCAACTCCTGTACATCATTATTCATGATATCAAAAAACTACCCATTATGAGAATATATGAGGGTTGGTTTTCAAATACATCAATTAGCTCCACAAATATGCAAAATGATTTTTCTTTTCAAATTAAATTTATGCATAATGCTATAACAATATGTCCTTAATTTTTTCAAAAGTCTAATGTATCCTAATAACTGAATATTACATCCTCATTACACCATAGAAAAAGTTTTAGAAATTGCAGTTCCTATTACAATGCCAGGGAATTTGTAATCATGAAGATACTAGAGCCATAGATTATCCAAACCCTTGGTTCGAAGATTGACACCAAAATCCAAATATTAATAACTTCAATGAAAATTATTATGAAAATTTTCCCTACCATATAATATAAGCATTACTTTTCATGCACAGTTATGCTATAATCATTTTCAAGTTTTTTTGGGTGGGTAAGTCATTTTCAAGTTATCATTCAGAGAAAGAAATTATTTAGGCTTTTCAATCATTTCATGTTCAGTACAAAATTTATACAATGACATATGCATTTTAATTTTTGGATCTTCATCAAACCAAGATAAAATAATTTCATATGACCAATAAATCAACTTTTGACCGTAAAACAAATCTATTGAACAAAAGGAATAGTAATCATGGTTAGATATTAAATTTCTATCCTTGATAAATAAACAAATAGTTCAGAAAACTTATTCAAGTGGAATTTTCATATCTTCGACTTCAACCTTTAAGTTGGGTACAATTTTTTGTTATCTTAGTGTTGATGATGTAAGACAGCTTTAAGAACTGTTAAATAAGGGTCTACAACTTTCTAAACGAAGAAGGGCGGGATTTAACTCGGTTCTCAAAGCAACAAGTTGCTAAAATTTTAGAGGAAATGTTCCTAGAGACTTTGGAAAGCAATTAATTTGTGTTTTTTTTTCTTCATATTTTTATTTGGTTAGGAGGCCAAAATAACATAAAAGTATTACAATATATCAAGTCTTGACAAAATACGGCAAGGAGATTGTGAATCCCATTGTGGGTATAGTAAATCAAGTATTTTTCTAGAAGAAGGGAAGGGAGAAAAACAAAAGAAAAGAGTTTTATCCTCATTGAGTGCAAACAACATTTCATAAATACAGTGCTAAATTTTCGAAACACACTCCTCTTAAAAAGAACCATTGCACAAATATTAATAGTCTTCTATAAATCTCCTAATTCTAATAAGACTACATGATGTTATATGGTGTTGGTCATTGTTAAATTAATCAAGGGTACTAAAAGAAGTAAAACCAACGATAGACCAAACAGTTTGCATTATTTATGCAAAGTGGTTGTTCTTAGATTTGAATCCATTTCTCATGCTTGATTTTTTTTTTTTTTTTGAAACAGCAAAATAAACCACTTTATTGATAATACTCAAGCAATAATACAATGATAATCATCAATAAAGGAAGAGGGTGCAAAGAGCATCATAGCCAAACAAACTCGATCTCAACTAGGTTTGCACTGAAGAGCCAGCAAAAGAAACCACCGAGGAGCCAGCTCATTTCTCGTGCTTGATAGCACTAAGTATTACTTTGACCTGGTAGTCTTAGAGTAATACTTCACGTTATTCATATAATAACACTTGTACAGTTGATCCGATATCAAAAAGCGATCATTTTTCCGTTAAGAAATGACGCTAATGGTAAGCGATCTAAGGTAGCTCTGGAGGTTGGGATTTTTGATCTAAGCATAGAAGCTTCAACAAAGATTCAAAATTGATCTAAGCGGAGTCCTTTCGCCAAGTCATGCACTGACAACCTCAAATATTAGTGGGTAGTTGGGGTATGTGGGAGGGCAAGTGACATGGGATTCATGATTTGGGCTTGGTTCTGATCTAGATTTTTTCGATTTGGGGTAGCAGAGAGCAGGTAGCTGGTCCTGATTCGCTTAGTTAAAGGTTTCGCCCACCACCTGGTCAAAAAAATGCCCCAGTGAAAATGTAATGGAGCAAGGAGGAAATGAAGGTTGGATTCCAGTTGTGAGGTAGCGGAAAGGCGGAGAAGCACGAGGCAAGGAGGCTAAACATGGACTGTTTACTGTCTTTGTGGACAATTTACCTTTAGCAATGGATGCTAAAACACTCTTCGAACTTTTCATGAAGTTTAGGATAGTGAAGGATGTCTTTAGACCTGCCAAAAGAAGGATAGTGACAAACTCAAGATTTGGGTTTGTGAGATTTGATTGCCATGTAGTAGCAGACATTGCCATCCAAAAATGGAATGGTTTATTGGTGGATGACATGGTGCTGGTAATCAAAAAAGCTACTTTTGTCGAGAACTTTAGAGATGAACAAAGCAGGAGTAGGCCTCAGATCATCAGGAAACCTTTTGAAACAAGCAAAAACAAGGTTAAAGTTTCTTTTGTAGGCCAAAGATCCTTCCTTGCAGTCCTAAAAAGGGTCACACCCACAGTGGCTGGGAAAGCAAATTTGAACTTAAAAGTCATTGAAGAAGGCCATGGCTGGCTCTATGAAAGTGCAATAGTCAGGCTTAATACTGAATACCCCACTCATTACATTGAAAATGCACTAAATGAGAAAGGAATGGATCAGGTATTGGTCAGGAAAGAGGGAGGACGAGATATAGTATTAACCTTCAAATCTCAAGAGGAGCTGAAATCAAATATTGGCAATATCAAAGAATGGTTTAAGGATTGGATTCAGTTTGTGGTGGAATGGAAGCCAGGATTTCATATCGAACAAGAGAGATGTGTGTGGTTGAGGTGTGTAACACCCCATTTTTGACCGACCTTAAGACTTAGACGTCACCAGTTGAGTGCTCGGTGATGTTGCATTTTGTGCTCGATCTGAGGTTTCAGAGTCTCGGCTGAGAGCCTTGCCTCCGGACTTTGAGGTTCTTTTGTGCTTTGCCTCAGTTTGCGAACCAGGTCCTGTTTTCTCTGTTTTCTCTTTCCGAAGGGAGGGAGAGGTCTCGTAGACCATCTCTCAGTGGCCGTAGGCTACATTTCGTGGTCGTAGGCCATTTTTTCCATTTGGAGCCCGGTTTTCGATTTTCGGAGCCGTCGGTCGTGTGCCTCGGTTTGGGACCGCTTAACTTCCTCCGTTTGCTCCGATTTTTGACACACACCTTATTTCCTCCATTTAGAGGGACACTGTGGCCCGGGAGACCACCTTCGTGGTCATACGCCACTTCCGGTGCCTGACAGCCTGTTTTCGGGGCCCCGGACTGCGCGTTTTGGCCCCCGAACTCTCGTTTTGCATCTGTCTTGGTCCATTTTTGGTAGGGACCCTATTTTCACTGTTAGGGAGGGAGTAGTATGGTGGCCGGCCACCTTTTCCCCTGAAAAATCAGTTTTCTCATTTTTTCTCTCCAAAAGCCGGTTTTTCTGACAGAAAGCTGGTTTTTCTCACTTTTGAGCCACATTTTCTGGCTTTTCATACCACCATTGTGTTGTGCTCATCTGGGAGGCCACCAATAT